AAAGGGTGCCTTCAACCCCCTATGGGGAGGCACCCTTGGGCCCCAGTGGGGGGGGAATCCCCTCCCTGGCCCCCACTGGAAGGTTGGCTGCCTCCAGCCCCCCTTGCCTGGAAAGGGGCTCTCTCCCTTGTCAGTGGCCTGCCTGCAACTTGGGGGGGGCAGGTGGCCACCGGCCGGCTTGCAAAGCAAAAGTGGGGGGGGGCAGAGATTGAGAGAAAGAGAGAAGGATGTTTCCCCTTGGAGGTGACCCCACTCTCTTCGTTCCCCCCCCGGGGGGGCCCTCTGGCCATCCCATGGCAGCCCATGAGTGAGGGTGGCCGGCTTTTTAGTCCGAGGTAGGTTTGCTCCTGTCGGCCCCAAAAGAAGCCTTTGATTTGGTGTAACTCTGAAATGAAAGACAAGGAGCCCCTGATTTTCCTGCCCCCCTGGCTCATTTTTCATGGGACACCCACCCCCAAATCGCGTGGACACCCTTCCCTCTTCGCCCCGTTCAGCTTAACACGCTCTTAAAAGTACTGGGTCAGCGTCGTCCTCTGCTCACCTTTGTGTGTTGCGTTCAAGTTTAATACCGATACAGTAATAATAATAATATTTCATGCCGTGCTTTAAGCAGCTGCAGATGTCGGAAACAATGCCATCAGAGCTACAAAAACACGGCAGTGTTAGGAACAAGCCAAATTCCTGCGCCGGTATTTTAACAGATAACTTAAGTTTTTGGTTAAAAGCTGTATCCCAACCTTGGGCCTCCAGATGTTCTTGGACTGCAACTCCCAGAAGCCTTCACCACCACCTCTGCTGGCCAGGATTTCTGGGAGTTGAAGTCCAAGAACATCTGGAGGCCCAAGGTTGGGGATTATTGTCAGTTATACAATGCCGGTCAGTGGTTTTGTAATTTTGAATAATCATCATCTTAGCCCTGCATTGCTGGAAAGGGACCCTGTGAGATCATCAAGTCTAGCTGCTCTCAAGGAGACCCAGTGGAGGAATCGAACTCCCAACCTCTTCAGCCACTAAGCTATCCCGCAGTTGCTCTCCTTGTGACCCTCTGTCCACCCCTTTTGCTCTTAATGAGGACTAGCAGCCTTATTCATGTATTAGTTCCGTTTCTACCCTGCTTTTTCCTCCCAGGTGCTCTGCAGGAGGGCTCTTGCTGTAGCAGCAAGCTCGCCTTCACTGTATTTGAGTGGAGGGTCACGATCCCTGGGTTTGACTCCTGAGGAGGTTGTCCGTCAAATCCTATGGATTAAAAACATCCTATTATTTACAGCTCTGCTCAGGTTTTGCAAAAGCCCAGGCGGTGGTTTCCCCAACGGAGTCAACCCATCTCGCATTCAGGCTTCCTCTTTTCCTACTGGCTTTCTCCAAGGGGTGTCAAAGTAGCCCTCGGTTGGGCCGCTGTGCTTTATCCTAACAGGCCAGTGAAGAGGCTGCCTAGCCCAAGGTCACCCAGGGCGTTGCAGGGATTTGAACCCAGATCTCTCCAAGACAAGGACTTTTACGCCACACAGCTAGTTTGGGGCAGATCTGTTATCGAGGGGAGGGAGTTGATATTCTTGTGTGATTTCAGGTGGAGGGGGCATGTCACCCCCCCCCAAGGATCCATGCTTTTGAAGGAGAATGGGGACACATCCATCCAGGTCCTTAGTGACCTTTGGCAGGTACACCTTCTGTCCTCTCCCTCCACCTCCGCCATGGATGCCTGGATGGCCTCCCCCAAGGCCCCCCTCCCCAGGCATTATAACCGCTGCATAACCTTCTTTTTCAAGGTGTATTTCCTCACCACCTTTTTTTTTCTTTGCTGAGGCCCGGATCTCAGCCAGAGGACGGTCCCGATGTCTGGGTTGTATTTTTCCACATCTGCCCGTTGCTGTGTGCAAAATAAGAGAAGAGGTTCCCCCACCCCCCCACTCAAAAGCAGAAACTGGGACCTTTCCCCTTAAAACCCTGGTGCAGGGAGCAAACGCTTTTAAAAAAACCCAATAAGTACATACACAACAGAGGTAATTGCGATGGTCTATATAGGCAGAAAACAAAGTCCAAAATCCAGAGCCAGGGGTGTGACCTTAATTATTAAGTCTCATTTCAGTTCCATAGAAGTGCAAAAACTTTGGGGTTTTTCCAGAATTGCTCCGTAGGCTAGGAGGTTAAGAAAAGCAACGCATGTGTTACGCAATTCATTCGAGGCAGGGAGATGTGTGAGGATAGGAGAATAATCAAAGTTCAGAAATGTGGTTAGATGTTCAAACCCATGGAGCTGTGTCGGGAGCGGGGGGTGGGGGTGGGTGGGATTGCATTCAAACCACAATTTAAATTTTTTAAAAATCAGATTTTAAAAGAAATTAAAAGAAATTTTTTAAGAAATTGAAATCAAGATTTAAATCAATTTGATTCGTAAAATCATTGCTTTTTATGCCACCTTGGGCGGTGGATGATGCTGTTTTAATCCTGTTCTTCTTCTGCCCACTCCAGAGGGCTTATCTGTGCCAAGCGCAGGTTAATGTTGCCACGGTTGGTGAACCTGAGAAAGAGAAACAATCTTTGTATTAAAAAAATAGCATTTTTCTACTGCGAATCTCATCCTTTTGTTTTCTCCCTCCGCAACCCCTACCTCAAGAGTGGTTTATTTGGGAATTATCCCTCTAGCTGTTGGTTAACATTTGTGCAAAATTCTCGTGCATCGGGAATGCGGTTTTCATATTGTTCAAACAACAACACCCAGGTGTCTGCTAGGATTGCCGCAGGTAGAATTCGGGGGGCTTTAAACCAACCCCCGCAAAAAAAGCCTGTTCAGGTGTTTAATATCACTTTTTGCTGGTGCGAAAAGCAGGGGAAAAAAACCTTGTATTTCAAAGATTTCTGGCAGTACAGGAGTAAGCTGTGCAGCAGGCACTGCAAAGCATGATGGGTATTGTAGTTTCCCGAGAGGCAAGCTTTTATGGCAGAAGAACAGGACTAAGCTGTGCAGCAGGCACTGCAAAGCACGATGGGTATTGTAGTTTCCCGAGAGGCAAGCTGTACAAAGTACAAGAGGCAGGCGGACTACGGTACTGTATTTCAGAATACTGGAGGAAATCCCCCATCAGTCTTGAGGCTGGGCTTAGAGGGGTAATGAACCCATGCTCACTTCTTTCTTGGGGGGCCGGGTTTGTAGGAAAGATGCCCCCGGAAAAGGCTACCAGAACAGGTGACAAGCTTCTCCTGGAGGTAGGGAAGGTACATGTAAAGCCTCAGATAGACTGCTCTTGACCTGGAGGTTTGATCCTTCCAACTGTGAAAGAAAGATGGGGTGTGATTTTTTTTTTTGAACCATGCTCAGTTAGTTACTAGCCTTCCCCCCCTCCCATGATATGGGTGTCAGGGTGGTCTACACCATTTGAAAACAAGCCCACGGGGTGGGTGGGATTCGTGTCTCCTCCCCACTGAATTTCAGGAGTGAAAGAATAACGGCCAGAAATGTGGACACGGCTGTTTTATCCAGGTTTATAAAATCTGGCTGTCTTTTCTCTCCCTCCCTTCAATCCCAGCTTCTTCGTTCAATATGGAGATGAAAAGACTAACCATTTGGTGGGGGGGGGGAGTTTCCTTAACCACCTTTGGAATTTGAACCCGGGAGAAGGCGCTGGGAAGGGAAAAGCTGGCAACGCGGAATGCCATTCAGCCGAGTTCGTATTTTCCCAGATAATGTGAATAATTCAAAAATGTTGTGGCTTTCCCTAGAGCCATTTTCAAAAAATTGTCTTATTTCACTAGAATCCCATCGATTTTCTGGGTTTTCCACGAGGTCCGCGCTATTAATGTCACAGAACATAGGAAAGTTGCTTTTTGAGGCTACGACTTCTCGGAAGTCTTTTGCGAGTTGCAATCTACATTCCCAGGCTTCTAGCCTGGGGGCATTCTGGGAATTCCAGAATGGAGGATTCTGGGAATTTGCACTCTCCCCCCCCCCAAATTAACTTTTCAGAGCTTCGCACTCAAAGCAGCTGGATGGGGAGGTATCTTTGTTGCACCGCAGGTTGCTTTTCTTTATAAAGCGATCCTGACATTTTCAGCTTGCCGGAGGCTTCCGAGGGGAATGGTAACCCCCCCCCCCCCAAAGTCAGGTAGGAAGTGGAGCAGATAACTGATCCATTTCGCAGGCAGCGATTTTTGAAACGGGTCAAAGGCCTGGCCGGACAAGAAGGTTTTGGTTACTGATTGTAAGTCAAAGGGCAGCCTCTTTGCCGTCTGAAAGCTGGAGCTGGCCGGGGAGGTGCTGGGAATGTGGTTTTCTCCT